ATAATATATTCAATTTCTGCCAATAGATCCTCCTGAATGTTACACACTGGACCTTTTAAAGGTCGGTCGGTTGGTCAGTCTGACTTTCCTCTAGCGCCACCATGAGTTTGATATTTGTGGCTTTTAGTGAAATATCCCAACAGCTATCAGATGGATTGTCATGACTTTGGTTCAAACATTCATATCCCCCCTCAGGACGAATTGTAATAACTTTGGTGATCCTCCGACTTTCCCTCTAGCGCCATCATCAGGTCTTAATATCAGTTTGTTACTTGGTTTATGACCAAACACCTGTGTACTACTGACACTCTCATCAGCCTCAGTAAATAGTATAATAAACATATGATTACTGGAAAAAAAGTTAATTCAAGCAGACGTCAAGTTGAAGAAGAGCAAACTCTGACTTAATTTCAGGATAACTGAGTTTACTTGGGTTTACCTCCCACTACACCCCTGCTACGTAGTTCTCACGCAGTCCAACAGCTAGCTAGCTAACCTATTTACCAGACTATTAAACCGCATCAAAACAGGAAGGAAGTGGTAAAGTAGTGAAGCCTGCCCCTTTTGACGGACTGTCTGGGCTGAGTGTGACACTTACGAGCGGTGCGACTAAGAAGCTGAAATCATTGTAACTTTTATGGGTGTCTTAAAACCAATAAAAAGCCACGGCATGTGTCAGAGAGAGGGCCGCCGTACCATTTGGTTTAATGTACCTTTTTTGTCGTACAGGAAGTAGTTAGGACTGTTATTTATGTTAGTTTAGTTTGTACAATAGTCTTGTTTTTCATAGTGGACTACAGTTATGTTTCTAGTTGTTAATATTTAGTTTTAAGTCATTAGAATATAGTTCACCAGTTTCGAGATAACGCAGTAAGGCAGTTTAGCACATGAACAAAGGTCAGTTTGGAGCCTCAGCAGAGTCACCAGAGGTTTGGATCAAGTACAGCCACTTGAAGTGCAGCATTAAGTCGCTAATGGACCAGACTGAGCTGTAGGATTAAGTTCGGATCGCCCCGTCGCTACACTGCAAGTCATTACATTTTCAATAACCCCTCGTTCGAGTTCTCCCCGCCTGACTGAATGGTGATCACCCAGGGTTTTCCTCAATGCGGATGAATTAATTCTGTCCACACGAGTCAAAAGAAGATACTCTGCAGATGAGGTGGCCTAGAAACGTGGATCATTATGTGAAACAGGCCAGCAGAAGTGGTCTTGCAGGCGGCGCGTTTGTAGCGTCGGGCCTCAAGCAAATTTTGACTGGCAGTTTGTAGCGTCCTCAAACAGGAAGTGTTAGCTGTGACAGGACACAGAATGTGCCTGTGTGAATCCAAACTGTACGTTTCTGAATGTATTTCCTCAGGCATTCCTCAACCTACCACTCACACACACACACACACACACACACACACACACACACACACACACACACACAGTGAAATGTTTGCCAGACTATGATTGCAGAGGGAAGATGGAAGGAATAAAAAATGAGAGAAAAAGTCGCTCAGACACTGCTTATAGAGAGAGAGAGAGTGTGTGTGTGTGTGTGTGTGTGTGTTTTCCCAGCAGGAGTGTCTCTAGCTTTGAAACACTCCAACAACAGATTTAATAAAAGTGTTGTGTGTAAACATTTGCATGAGCCTCTGTGTGTGTGTGTGTGTGTGTGTGTGTGTGTGTGTGTGTGTGTGTGTGTTTTACCGGCTTTGTATTTACCGTTACTCTGTCAGTGTGTGTCTCTGTGTGTTTTACCTCACTATACCATCTGCCAACAGTAATCCACCACCACCACAGATTTGTGATGATTGACAGCTGTCACACTGCGGTGATGTCACTCTTTGCTCCGATGATTGACAGCTTCAGACTGACAGCGGTCCATGAGGGGAAACTAAAACAAAATGTACAAACTGAGACTAAAACTGTTGCCTGGAGGTTTTTTGTGAGGAGAAAAGGTGGGATTTGCACTTTATTTAGTTAAAAACAGATTAATATATCACAATTTACTGAGAAAAATCTACCTTTTTTAACTTCACTCGTAAAAAAGCAACCAGATCGGATGTTTTTCCCTTTTATATCATGTCTCTAAAGCTAAAAAAAGAGTTTAAACAAAAAATAAAGGTCCCATGGCCATGAAAGTCAAAAAGGTTGATCCTCTGGGGAGTATTAATGTGTATGAAACTTCCTGGCAAGCAGTTGTGTAGATATCTAACATAAATTTACATAAATTTACAAATTATTATAGATTTCCTCACTTTAATCAGCTGTAATTTGCAGGAAAATATATTTTTTACTCTCCCTTTCTTCTTTAGTTTCTGTTCTGCTCTTCAGTTGACAGAGTGAATGCTTGAATCAAACTGAGCCGGAGTGAAAGAAAATCTTCCAGCTGACTGAGGAGTCTGGCTGGAGGCTGGTTTGTTCGAGTTTAGATCCAAGTGAACACACTCTTGTGTGCACATGTGATCCTGTAACACTGACGAAGGTCGCTGCTGCAGCTGAAGTGCCAAAAGATTCTGATTTTAAATTTAAATGAGGAACTGAACTCTTTTTGACTCATTTACTGGAGAGAAACACCTATTCTTCCTGCTGAGAAACAATCGGGGTTTTTGTTCAAGTGAGAAAGCTCCTTTTCACCTTTTCACCTCCGCTCTTTTCTTCTCCTCCTTTTTAATCAGGTTTCTTCTCTGAAAAGAAACCCATTTCCCGCTCCTCTTTTTTCTTATTTTCCCTTTTCACTTTAACTGACTCAACCTATGTCCTTAATAGAGGTCGGTTTCTACATTAACTCTTTATCCTCCACGTTTTCAGCTCTGGTTTGGTCTCAACCGGCACCTGAGTAGAATATCTGGTTCTTTAGCTCCTAAACGCTCCACTGTGTTCACTATTTATTTGTCAGAGCATGTTTGATGGCAGATAATGTGCAGAAAAACCCAAACTAGGAACTAAAAGAGGCTCAAAAGCTCCATGGAGCTGCAGTTTGTGATAGTTCTTTGTGGGTTTGATCCACTAAAATTCCCAACTTTTTACCTTAAGGGACCCCTGACTGACCATATTTTGTGGATATTTCATATTTTATATATATAAATGCATAACAATAACAGCACAGAACAACTGATAGTGAAACACAATAACTGCAGGAAGTTTGTCTAAAACAAGCGATTTCGATCAATTTTGAGCAGATTGTTTCCTGTGAATATTGCATCAGTTATTCTTATCCTGTTATTTTTAGGAACTTTTTTAACAATTCTCTGTCTGTATTATGTATTTTTTATGATTTTTAACAATCATACATTCTTAATAGACTCCTTTTTTGTACAAATTCAGTGTTTTTTCTTCTCATTGTTCTGTTAACTTTTGGTTGTTTTAACTGCGTACTTTCTAATGCAGGACGAGGCTGTTGATCAGAGAGTGAAGGCTCTGTGAATATAAATTGTGTTTGATCTTCAAAGTTCATATTAAATAATAACCTCAACTTTAAAAAATAATTTAGTTTTCTTCACAGAAATGAACAAAATGCTGAAATGTGATACTGTGTATAGTAGTATAGTTTGAGTCACATTTTGCCTCACCTTGATGTGAAAAGTATACACATGTATGGAGGAACAGTATAAAGACAGATCAAACAGTCCTATGTGGAACCAAAAGTCAAGGTTGACGTATTTTAAGTTATGTACGTAATGTACTTAACTTTTTTGATCTTTTTGTTGTAGTTTTGTTGCCTGGACCTAACCAAACTACAAGTTTTATTCTGAAAGTCTGCATGTTAATTTTTGACAGCTTAATGAGAACTTGTTGAAAACGTAACACTGCCACGGTGGACTGCGGTGTGTTCTTTTGTGCTTTGGCGTCATACCAGTTTTGTCTTCTCTGTTCAATAAATCAGTCAATCCAGATCACACGCCTGAGTCCGGGGTTAGATCTAGGTTGCTAATGCACTTGGGAGACGTATGGATATTTTACGACTTTACAGAAACTTTTCCTCGTTATTTGCCTTCCTTCCAACCGTGTTTGCTGTTGTATATTAGCAACATTTTCAGGAGAAAGAGTTGAAACAGGAACTGCTAACAGCACGTCCAGAATGACTTTTCATGGTGTAGATTCTCCAAAGAAATCTAAAAAAACACCAAACTGTGACTCAGGTGCAGCTCACAGCGGACTCGCTCAGGCAACACTATGCCTAATTACTGCATCACTCAAAGCATGATGGGAACATGATTTTACACTTTCGGTACATATATTAACATTAAAAATGGCTCAGTCTCGTCAAGATGGGTCTTGGTTGGGACACAGTATGTTTAGATATTCTGTGTGTGTTGAAAACCTGCAGAAACACTCAAAGAACTCTTGTAGGACTTTGTTGTTTATTCTTTATATTGAGCGTAACTTTCTTCAGCTTTGAGTCCTCCTAATGGCACTTACTTCACAACTTTTTCTTAAACTTTCAGTGGATGACTTTCACTTTTACTTGCCTATTTGTCCAGAGAGGTTACTCTACATTTGCTGACATTTAATTACTCCCTTGCCGCTCTAATAAATCTTCCCCACCAAAGGTAAACTCCTTCTTCAGCTCCTGTTATTCAAAGTTTCTTCGCTCAAAGGAATCCTTCACCTTCTCCTTCTTTTCATCTTCCCTCTCCTCCCTCCTGTCCTCATTTTGACTCTATTGCTTGTCTTCTTTCTCCATGTCTGTCCTCAGCTCTGTCTGTCTGCTTCTCTCTTTCTTTCTCTCTCTCACACAGATATATGTAGAATTATATCTGAAAACTCCATATATCCATGTTGTGGGGATAAAAGGATTCTTTGGCAGGTTGTTAAAATGACTCATGAGTTTAATTTTAACCCAAAATGGGATCTGCTCTGATGCCAGCAGTCATTCTGTCAGAGCGACCAACGCTTTTTATTTTAATGGTGGAATCTCACTGGATGAAACTGACTTCGAGTTTATTAATGGAGGAACACATTCAGTGTGTGTTGAAAAGCCATAATGTGGTGTTCTGTGTGGTTTTCAGACTTGTTGGCCGTACCCAAACATCCGTACGCTGCCATGGAGAACTGGGGGCTGAGCGTCTTTGTGGAGCAGAAGATCCTGTTGGATGCCGAGGTGTCGTCGTCATCCTATCAGATGGAGCTGACCATGGTGGTCGTCCACGAAATCTGCCACCAGGTAGGGAAACATAGCCACCTTAATCAGCAATTATGCCAAGTTGGCTTCACGTCTTCAACCCCAACAATTTCTTTAGTGTTGTTTTGGTCAGACATTGTTCAAAGGTTTAGATTTTTGAGCTTGAAAATTAATTATTAGGGTTGGAAATAGCACTATGACAGCTCCACTTACACTTACTTACCTCGTTTTCAATAGATCCCAAAAAAGTTTTCCAGACAGCAAAAATGTCACATATGGTGATGTTTTGTAAAGAAAAATGTTTTGTTTTGATGAACAAACATGATAACATTGGAGACCAGAAACAAAAAAATTACATTTCATCCTGATGGTGGCACTAGACAAAAGGTCAGAAGTTAGGAAAATCATTAAACGATCATCCACAGATACCATGACTACCAAGAGTTCATTGAACCAAATCTTGGCGAAAATATTTTTTCATTTTGTGGAAATTCAAGCAGAAAAAAATGCTTAATTATTAAATGTATTATTATTAAATATTAATTATTGATTCCACTGAAACGGAAACAGATTCACTCAAGCCGGCGATTGAAGATGCGTCTGCTCAAATGGAAACGGTTTTATCTTGTTTCAACATCAGACTTTGTATTCTTCATGCAGTTGCATTGCATCAGTACCTACCAGCATGTGTATTAGACGCTTTGGCGTGATACGTGGTTCTATTTTAGTCCAAACCATGACCTTTTCCTAAGCCTAACAAAGTACTTTTTTGCTGCCTAAACCCAACCAAAGTGCGACCTTCACTTGAAAGTCTAATCAGACGTTACACGTTTCGTCGTGTATTAGCCTACGCACTTGGCGTGATACCGGGTTGGTGTTTTTGATGCAATGGGCCCTCAAAGCATTGGGTATTTGTTTTCGGGATAATGGGCTACAACTGGGCTTCCGGTCCAATGGGACATGTTTCGAACTATTGTGGTTTCAGAATAATGGGCTGTTGGAACAATAGGCAGGCTCCTTGTGAAATATTGTGTTTGTGAGTCTGTACTGTTAATGATGTTGCTGGCACTTGTGCAGTTTTGTTAACAAGCTGTCAGTTGAAGTCGGCATAAGTGGATGTGTCGGTTTGTGTACCAAACCCAGGGTTTCAGAGCTCAACCTACCAGCACAGATTCATAATAATCTGACAATCACAGCTGGTAAACATAATTACTGTAGGCTGCTCTCTACTCGGGTGACATATTACTTTTACGATGCAGCACTTAAAGTTTGCTTTAATCTGGCTGTTATTTACCCATTTAAATGCAGCACTGTATTTATAATCTCTCTGTATAGCACATTGGTAAACACTTGTTTTATATATGTGCTCTATCAATTAATTGACTTGACTCGTCTATGACATCCCTGGGACTTCATGGGTGCAAACTGGGTCATGGGACATTTCTGGTAGTGAAATACTGAATATTTATAGGTAGCATAATATCGATATTTGTTTGCCGCTCTGTCAGTTTTCTCATTCTACACAACTTGTCTCTTTTCTAGGGTAGCAAAGATTTTGGGAACTCACAAATCTAGGAATAGTTTTACTGGGTGTGTTTAGACTCAGGTTTTTGTCACTGTATTGAATTGAGATTATATGAAAAAGCTTTTTTTCCCACTAGATCATTTACCAGAATAGAAGACGCTGCTTTATTCACATGATCATTTTCACAACGTCCGTGTTTGCTCATTTCATCGGCCATGGAGGTCACTGTTCTGTTCTTCTGCCAGTTGGCAGGATGTTTTAGAGATATATTTATTTTTGATTTAACCAGGAAGTCCTTTAAGATTAAAATCCATTCTTTTCGAGGAAGACCTGGCCAAGATAGCACAGTATTATAAGGTTACAAAAATTATATAATGGGGCACGCCAAAAACAGACAAAGGGACAGTAAAAATAACAGTGGAGTGCCTTTAAAAACAGACAAGGGACAATAACCAACCTTAGGAACAGCGATTGCAATTACACAGCTTGTTATCAGAGCTTTGAACTCTCCCAGGGAGACATTAAGCTGTACTGTGTTCTGAAGGTTATTCCATGACCAGGGCGCAAAATAGGAGAAAGCTGCTCTGCTAAGTTCTGACTTTGTACAGCAGCCATCTAATGGAGCAAAAATCATATAATAGCTGTTATCGTATATATATATATATATATATTGTGTAAAAATATACCAATGCTACCGTCTCCTTGTGCTTTATGAAGACCAGGAGACCAGATCATGAAGTACACAATGATGTGTACAGGACAATGAGTTAAATATAAATATATAGAGAACTGTGGTACACTGAGTTTAATAATGATAATAATAAGAACTTTATTTGTATAGCACACAAACAAGTTGCTTTCCATATACAAAAAAATATCAGCGATAAGGAATAATATTAAAAGCAATATACGAGGTGAAAAGATAAAGAAAAAACACACCACCAATTAAAAACACAGGAAAAAACACAATAAATAACAGTATGTGCTGAAATAAAATCTAATAAATTAAATTAATAAGAAATACTCCAAAAATAAGGATCACACAGGAAATTTTGTTATATCTCATTACCTCCTGACCTGAGCTGCTCTGCCTGTTATTCTGTGATCATCTCTGCTGAGCCGGATGCACTTTCAAGAACTCCCCAACATTATTATTAGAATAATAATAATAGTTCTGCAGCTTTGGCAGAAGTAAACAATACTTGTTACCCTTTCAGAGGGCTTTCTAGTTGTAGTTTCTCTTTGATTTTCTGACATTGTGATGGTATTCAACTCTGCCCGCATGCGTATGGCATGTCAAAACACCAGCACGGAGCTTAAAATAATGTTCATGAGGTAAATATGCTCCTTTAGAGAAAATGATGCACCTGCAGCGGCTAAATTTGTTGATAGCATGTTATCTGGCAGAGGCTAAAACAAACCGCTGTCACCGAGCCTGAACCTGGGAAATTACTGACGCTCTCTCACAGTCAGCTGCAGGTTAGTTTGAAATTAAATAGAAAAAAAAAAAAGTTAATAGTTAACCATGAGATCAGGCCCAGAGTGAAAAAAAAACCAAAAACAGACTCTTCCTTTAACGGATGCAAATGATCCGGTTGTGAACAGAACTGAACGTGACAGAAGTCAAAACAGCTTCAACTGCAACACCAATGATCTGTGTGTGTGTGTGTGTGTGTTGTGTGTGTGTGTGTGTGTGTGTGTGTGTGCGTGTTACAAAGCTCCTCAGGCAACAACAACAGCAGAGGAGATGATCCTGTTTTTACAGTACGACATTGAGTATGTGACAAGCAGACAAACACGATGAAGCAGAAGAAAATTTAAAGGTTTCAGTCAGTAAAGAGAAAGAGAAAGAGGGAGAGAGAGGGAGCGGGCGAGCGGGCTTAAACGATACAGACAGATGTACAACGAGGAGAGCGAGAGAGACGATGGTGCGTAGGATACGGAGAGACAAAGAGGCGAGGGAACAAAGTAAAGGAGATGACACCCGTTAAAGGAGAGTAAGAGATACAAAAAGATGAAGAAAGACAGGAAGAGCTCACAACACTGTAAAAAACAAAACATCCAAATCCACTGAGCTTCATTCAGTTTTTCTGCAGAGGGTTACGAATCTGACTTTTAAAACAGCTGTTCTGTTTGTGTTGGAGCTCAGAGTGGCTAAATTGCTGTTATTGTTACAATGTCACATTCAAACTGGGGTTGTACACAAGTAGTTGATGACCACTCTCTCATCGTCGGGTTGTATTCTGGCATAAAACAACCTGCAGTTGTATATATTCAAACACAGAAAGAATGAACTTAAATCTTTAGCTACACAAATGCAGTGGTGGAAGAAGTGCATTCAAAACCTCACTTCAAGGTCCAGTGTGAAACCTTTAGGAGGATGTACAGACCTTTTTCACAGCAGCCATTTATACTTATGATGACACTAATTAGTGCCTTTCCAGTGAGCCTCTGTTTAACCTGAAGGGAACAGAAGCTTAATTAGTATCATTGGTAACACCTGTGTTTACCCCACTTCTTCATGTCTAAATGTGAAAAAGGTCTGTACATCCTCCTAAAGGTTTCACACTGGACCTTGAAGTGAGGTTTTGAATGCAGGACTTTTTACTTGTAGTGAAGTATCAAAATCTGGAACTTTTGAGACTAGTTTTCTAGTCATGGAAACACCTGGAAATTGATTGAAGTGAACAAATATCCTGTAAATAATATATGTTGTGCTGAAAAATGTTCTCCTCCCTCAGATTGCCTACATAAACCTGGGTGCATATTTTGTGTGAAACTGTTGGGAGCTGCACCGTATGACACAGTGGGTTAATGTCAGTCAATCGATTGCAGCAAAAAACATACTCCTTCTCCGATGTCCATCACACAAAAATCATAAACTTCCAAAAGTTGCCTGAAAATCATTAAGTTTTCTTCGGTATCATAGTAATCCACTGACCGGTGTCTGTACATCCCTGGGTACAGTTTGATGTTTGATGTATCCATTTCTGAAACTTCAATTTTAATTATCATATTTTAAATCTTTGAAAACCTCAAATAAACTTCCGTTCGCGTCCAATGTATTTGAGTGGCAGCAGAAATCACAGCATATCTTAAAATAAAACTATCTGCGAGGATAGATGCATCTAAAGGTACATGAGAGAGGTTTTTTGTCATTTGGGTGAACAGGCCCTTTAACTGTCCCAACCACTAGTAATCATCGTGTTGTATGGGATCATTTTGATGATGGAAATGAAACGGTTCGGTGTAAATATTGCGGTGCCTTTGGCTGACTGAAGAATGTGTCGTTTTCAGTTAATTTCCTCCAGGATGTGGCCTCTAACTCACATTTCTCTCTGCTGAGTCTGGATGAACATTACCTTCAGGCTACTGCTGGTCTGGAGCAAAAGAACAGACTGTATAATAACTAACATCGTTGAGCTTCGGAGTGTGATGCTCCACAGTATATTAAGTCATAAATATTATTGGATATGTCATAAAAATGTAGTTATTGTGTTGTTGTCTGGTTTTGAAT